AATATACCAGCAATGCTTTTTTAAAACAGATTTACAAAATTGATTGCACAACATGTGACAGTTCATCAGTACCCAACACAATATTTGTTATCACATGAAAACCAAAGAGTCTTGAATTTGACATTTCTACAATTTCTAAAATAACATGCATTGCTTCATATTACAACTATGAATGTTTAACAAGGTATTTCAATGCAAAAATATTCTGAATTCTTTAATCTTTACCATTGTGAATTTTTTTTGAGAATTTGAATCTTTATGTTTTCTCGAAAAGTACAAAATAGAGAAGAAATGCCATTTCAAATTGCTTATGAGATGTTTATGGATTGACGTTTCGTATGGATTGGCATGTTTCGTATGGATTGACATGTTTCGTGTGGATTGACATGTTTTGTATGGATTGACATGTTTCGTATGGATTTACATGTTTTGTGTGGACTGACATGTTTCGCGTGGATTGACATGTTTTGTATGGATTGACATGTTTCATATGGATTGACATGTTTTGTATGGATTGACATGTTTCATATGGATTGACATGTTTCGTATGGATTGACATGTTTCGTATGGATTGACATGTTTTGTATGGATTGACATGTTTCGTATGGATCGGCAAGTTTTGTATGGATTGACATGTTTTGTATGGATTGACATCATCCATATATGTTTCGTATGGATTGACATGTTTTGTATGGATTGACATGTTTTTTCATTTGTATAATCCCCATTGGGATTCCGGGTTCGAATTGGTCCCCCAAAACCGATGTTGGTCATAAAAGGTGAGCAGATGGAGCAAGTGGTCAGGCTCAGTGGCTTTGTTGATAGCTGTACCCCAATGGCATGGATTTTTGCTCACAATATCGATCACTCATTTGTATAAAGAAATTCATTTTTTGCTCTTGATAAAGTAATATAATAAGATGGCTGTCCATCTCATTAATAACTCAATGTGAAAATAGAGCTTTTGAGGTTGTAAAAACTCTAATGCACTTTATGAAAATGCTCCAGATGTTATTTCCTATATGAATAACAGATAAAAGTTATTGAAAAATATTCATCCAGCATGTACTTGAACACCTTGAACCTTGACTTTCTCCTCAAGGAATGACGTTTTGTGTGTAGGATTTATGAAACAATGTCTGATTTCATGTAGGCTTTCTCAGTCATTGCATGGATGATAAGAACAACGATATATTTCTGAAAACAGTCGTCAGGGACCTTGATACTCAAAGTATTTGTTTTACAACTATTTGAATGGTATTTATTACATTTTTATTAAGCTTTATAAACAGTATTGATTTCAGTAAAACCTTTATGCCTTGTATCAAAAGCTTTGCGGCAGTAATATCATGTTCGCAACACATTCGTAATCTAATGACTAATCAACATTGATATTTGATGTCAATTGCACCGTACATTACAATGTGTTTACAAAAGAAATTGATCATTAATCAATGAATAATGGTGTTTCTTTCTCTTGCAATGGAGCAAGCGGTAACCGTGATCTTTCCTACCAAGACCTCATAATTCTTTTCACTATTGTGGAACATTGGCAATGCAATTCGTAGTCCATTCACGTGAAGTCAGATTATTACATGGGATAAATTTCCCTCACACACTGACCCGCAGATTTCCGTCAGAGAAAAATAACTCTGTATCATCGCATTAGAGAAGAGTGATTGACTAGTTAGTGTGCATCCTCGTTGAATAGGGGTGGGAGATAAATTTGTGTCCTCTTTCCGAAGGAAACGATGAACTTGTGTGCAGAATTGGAAAGTGGTTTGCTATAAATGGATAAAAATTGTTGAGTGTTAACACTGGTATGACTTTAACCATGTAAATTTCAGAAATTCCTCTGTGTAAATTGGATTTATTTGTTCTTTTAAATTTAAGCTTTTTAGATTTAGTGTGATATTCACCATTGTAAATTGGACCCATTCAATCTTGTACAGTTCAGAAAGCCTTCTATCTTTGTGCTAGGTTTTGAGTTTTGAGCAAATTGTTTCACTGTGCAGAATGTCAATCACTTTGCCATCCACATTTGCAATCAACCAGTGCAAATAGTTTTGCTTCATCTATTTGGACATTGGTTACAATAAGGGCAGCGTCTGTTGATAAGTTGTGGAGGACACCTGGTGTCTACACTTACCCAGAACCCCTGAAGATCCGGGGTAGAATAGGTCCTCAGCAACCCATGCTTGTCTACCCATGAAGATCCGGGGTAGAATAGGTCCTCAGCAACCCATGCTTGTCTACCCATGAAGATCCAGGGTAGAATAGGTCCTCAGCAACCCATGCTTGTCTACCAATGAAGATCCAGGGTAGAATAGGTCCTCAGCAACCCATGCTTGTCTACCCCTGAAGATCCAGGTAGAATAGGTCCTAAGCAACCCTTGCTTGTCTACCCATGAAGATCCGGGGTAGAATAGGTCCTCAGCAACCCATGCTTGTCTACCCATGAAGATCCAGGGAAAAATAGGTCCTCAGCAACCCATGCTTGTCTACCCCTGAAGATCCAGGTAGAATAGGTCCTAAGCAACCCTTGCTTGTCTACCCATGAAGATCCAGGGAAAAATAGGTCCTCAGCAACCCATGCTTGTCTACCCCTGAAGATCCAGGTAGAATAGGTCCTAAGCAACCCTTGCTTGTCTACCCATGAAGATCCGGGGTAGAATAGCTAGGTCCTAAGCAACCCATGCTTATCTACCCCTGAAGATCCAGGGTAGAATAGGTCCTCAGCAACCCATGCTTGTTTAAAAGGTGATTATGCTTGTTGGACGAGGCAACTAATGGGATCCAGACTCGATTACTCACAGACTCCATGGTGATTTCAGGTTAAGACCATGTCCCTACCCACCTTCCCCCATTGTATCAGCTTGGCTCGCTGCTCATTCTATAGACAACTGGTGAGCCTGTATATCTGTTTGACCCATGGTGATTTCAGGTTAAGACCATGTACCTACCCACCTTCCCCCATTGTATCGGCTTGGCTCGTTACTCATTCTATAGACAACTGGTGAGCCTGTATATCAGTTTGACCCATGGTGATTTCAAGTTAAACCATGTCCCTACCCACCTTCCCCCATTGTATCAGCTTGGCTCGCTACTCATTCTATAGACCACTGATGTTTCACATACAGCAATTCCCATCACAAACACATGTATATTCCCAATATTTCTCAATATGTCAGTGATCCATTCATATGATTTGAACCTCTATTTGCCTTTTACGCTCAGTTGAACCTGTTTTGGCAGATAATCCAGACTGGTATTATTATTAAAAAATGTTATGGATTTTTTTCACAAGAACTAATGATGAAAAATATGAACAGTTTTTATTGGTTGTGTATGATAATAATGCAAACATCGAGATGTTTCTTTTCATGGTTTTCATGTTTAGTGTCATGTGACCAATGCAAAAAATAACCATTTTTGGCCTGAAATCAGTCACTAGTTGGTCATGAATAATCAGAAGATAATTATTTATAACAAATCACCTGTTAATGTCGCTAGTTGATTCATGATTCATGAACTCATGACATATTCTGAATCATACAATGGACTCTGCTTTTAGCACAGATTTCTAACAATTAAGGAAACGTTTTTTGTCACTTTTGTTTAAAACCAGTGTCATGAATATCAATCATAAAAGATGTAAAAACAATTCCATGTGCCACTGATTTTATTTTAATCTGCTGTCAATGGTAAATGATACCGATAATTCATGCCTTGAGCATGACATACGCCACCAATCGTATACTCTAAAAAAATGATATTTTCAGATTTTTTGGCAAAGATTCTCTTATGAATCAACTGAGGTCATAAATACTTATTTATTTTAATGTCTATTTCAATTTCATATTGACAGAAACTCAATGCATCGCAGGTCACATGATCTTCTGAGATATGTTTCTTTTTAAAGATTCAGTATGAGTTTGTATGTTGAAATAATGATATGTATACCTATGTACGAAGCCATCTTTCCACTGCAGGGCAGTTCAAGGATTCTAAAAGATTTCAGCTTTTGTGTTATAGTCTCTTTCAATTTAATATTAAAATGAAAGCAAGCTGTGGTAGTTTTTCAATTTATTCTTGTATATGTCATGTTTTCTAACTATGAAAGTGTTTTCTTGTATAATTCAGATGGAGTGTATCTATGCTGAACATGTTCTTGTACATTTCACATGGGTATATTTTATGATATGCTGAACATGTTCTTGTACATTTCATGTGGGTATATTTTATGATATGCTGAACATGTTCTTGTACATTTCACATGGGTATATTTTATGATATGCTGAACATGTTCTTGTACATTTCACATGGGTATATTTTATGATATGCTTAACATGTTCTTGTACATTTCACGTGGTATATTTTATGATATGCCGAGTGAGTTCTTGTATATTTCACATTGGTTTATTTGTGATATGCTGAACATGTTCTTGTACATTTCACATGGTATATTTTATGATAGGCTGAACATGTTCTTGTACATTTCACATGGGTATATTTTATGATATGCTTAACATGTTCTTGTACATTTCACATGGGTATATTTTATGATATACTGAACATGTTCTTGTACATTTCACATGGTATATTTTATGACAGGCTGAACATGTTCTTGTACATTTCACATGGGTATATTTTATGATATGCTTAACATGTTCTTGTACATTTCACATGGGTATATTTTATGATATGCTTAACATGTTCTTGTACATTTCACATGGGTATATTTTATGATAGGCTGAACATGTTCTTGTACATTTCACATGGGTATATTTTATGATATGCTTAACATGTTCTTGTACATTTCACATGGTATATTTTATGATATGCTGAGTGAGTTCTGGTATATTTCACATTGGTTTATTTGTGATATGCTGAACATGTTCTTGTATATATCAGATTGAGTGTATCTATATGTGACATTTCTTGTACATTTGATATGGGTATATTTTATGATATGCTGAATGTGTTCTTGTTTATTTCAGATGCAGTATTGGTTTGAGGGATTGCTGATATACATGTCATATCTCATGTCGATAGGTAACACAGTCAATCCAGGTACGTCCATTTCACTTGCTAATTCTAGTCAATAACACTGTCCCACAGCGACAGCCATCAGAAGCATTGTGTGTAGTGGATTTCGCAGATTTGTTTGACTGATCAAACACCTGTACTCAAACTATTTACATAGTGTTGATTAACATCACAGATATGGACCAGTAGACAAGAGAAAATTCATAAATTGATCAAAAGTATTTTTACCCAATGGATGCAGGATGATCAAACCGAAGGTGCCATTAATTTGAATTGATGAATTATCCATGTGGAGACGGATCACAAATAATGAGACAAAACAAATTTCACAGAACATATGTTTGTTTTCCGTGATGAATAAGTTCTTAAGAAGGATAATACTGTCTTATACAGCAGACTGAAAGCTTCTTTCATTAGTTGGCGCCTCAGAAAGGGTCTTATTAATTATGGTACATAACAGACAGCGCTCTGTTAGCTGGTAGCAGATTACTACTCTGGCAGACAGAATTAAATGCATTGTCATGATTGTTATGTAGCTTACATGATTATTCTCTGGTCAAGTCTTTCATAAATAAGGCATGAAATAGAACTCAAAGCTGGGCCCAGACAATATCACGTTGTTATTTATTTCTCAAGAGTCCCCCAATGACTTTATAATAGCCAGAGAATGATCCTCACCCTCTGCTGATGCTCTGATGAAAGGGGGAGACGAAGCCTGTTTTCTTTGATCAGGATACCATTCCAACATGCGCAATGATTTTTGGATTCGTCTTGACAATTGTGGCCAACAGAAGCTAATATTTGTTTAGTTATGATATTGTCTCTTTCTTTGGTTGGTTAGTGTATCTTAAAATAATGCTTTTGTGATAAAACAGAAAATTACTGATTTCGTTAAAAGCTCTGGTTTATGATGATCTTGAATATATGTGATGTAATTTCATGGAATATATTATGTTTCTGAACTTACTGGTATTTGATAATAAAATAGTAACATTTTATTGAATTTGCAAATTACAAATTTATCTGACAAGATAAGGGACCTTATAGGTGAAAAAATCGAATTTTGACTTTTTATTATATTTTAAAACTATAGTATCTTCGGAACAAAAAATACAATTCACAAGCTTCAATTCATATTTAACACAGAGATACAAGGCATCAAACATTTGGACTCATTTTCCGACATATGACATGTAATAATTGCAGTTTTTAGACATAATGTCTGATGAATGGAAAGTAGACATGTATGCTGAAAGATTTTGAAATAATGTTTTTATAATGTTTTTGATAATTATGTACAGGCCGCACACATGGCAATCTTCATTGAAGTAATTTGACGTCAAAAGTCTTTATGACGTCACAGCACAATTGTATCCCAGCACCCAGCAGGTCGTCATATCCTGGCAGGTCACACATATCACTTTCCTGAAATGCAGTTTAAAATCCTGTTCCTTTGCGTCAAGGACACTAGAGCAGATAGAACTTAAATATTTCATATCAAGAGATGATATGAACTAATTTCGATTTTACATGCTATGAATAATAGAAATAGAATTTGAGAGCTCAAGCAACGCCCACTCGAAATGTTGATCCAGGGACCATATAGCAGTGATATATTCAGTTCAGATCTATAGAGTTCGCTCCAATATATTCATATGTAATATGCATATCTTGCAGTCAATGTGTAAAATTAGCAAATGTGTACAATGACTGAAATTTTCACTCAGGCAATTTATGAAATGCCTAAATATTTTAGTTATTTTACAAATTGACTGAAAAATCGGTACAGTTATTTTATTCTGATAATGAATTTCAAACATTTTTATGTTTAATTTCATCAACCGGTGATTGAAATCATAAGATTTAAACAAAATTAAAGGCACCCCGAATATATATTATATAATTTTTTGGCTTCTCACCCTTGCATAATTAGTCTATTGTGATGTTTTTTAGCCCTTCTCTACTTCTTAATAATTTCTGCCTAATCTGTCAAATAAATAGACAGATTTTTCATTCAATTTCTAAAATGACTGAAATATTTAGCATTTTATAAATTGCCAAAGAGAATAACATTTTACACATTGCCTGATTTTACACATTGACTCTATAAACTTTCATAAGTGTCTTCAGCCATTCAGATGTATGTGTATGAACGTCCGATGTCTCTAGAAGGATGTTTATTGCTTGAAAATAATACAAATTGCATGTACCGATTTGTATACAGTGATCCGTCGCTACAAGGCTACCTTCTGGGTCCAAATAATTGACGAGAGTTATAGATGCATGATCAGCGGTTTAACGAAGGTCGAGTTGTAGGTGGTAGATGTACAACAAACAGTATACATTGCTCTGCCTACCTAACACAATCTACGTTGCACGTTTCAGAGTTTCAAAACAGATTAGAATAGAAGTTATTTATGATTTATAGTGTAAAAGAAATTTCGAGTATTAATATGCACTTAACAAAAATCCACATCGTATCCCTTCAGCGAATTCAGGTGAATAAACAGTTATAACCAACTTGGTCAATAAAGGTATGAAATTTGATATAAAACATCACTAGACATGATGATTTACCATTTAAAATGTATTTCCTGCTCTCAATGGCATTGTTTTATATGCAATGATTAAGATTACCATGTGTATTTTCTCATAAACTAAGCCGGAAAGTAATCAGCTGTGCAAGCGTTTCCTCCCAATCTACCGGGGATTCAGTTAAAAAGTACCCAATGATACAACTTCAAAGAATTTTGATGCAATGGTCAGAAGAAATTGTATATGAATTTATTATAACAGGAATAATATATTCCAATATCGTGTTATTTTAGTTGCAGCTTCCACCATTTATACTTAAAATTATAAGAACCATAATCGTAGCACTTTGGTACAGAGGGTATGCAGGATATATTTTGACATATGGAACGTTTTGTCCAGTCACCAGTCCAGTCCAGACATTTCATAGTCACACTGCCTTAAATATGACTTTTATCAAGTCATGGAACAGCATTTATGATATGTGTATCCATTCTCTTGCAACTAAAGTTCGTTTCAAGGCGTCAATAGCAGTAATCTAACTGTGGTTGCTGTAAATAACGGTGAGTTGTGAGATCTATCGATCACTTCGCATACGATTTCGCCGAAATTATTGTAAACGTTATTATAATTATTGAATGAAATTTTGAATATAATCAATAAAATATGTTGCAAACATTAGTCCAGATAAACAATGAACAATTTTTTTATTACCAGATATTAATAATAGGATTGAATTGTGTACTTCAGTTCGGATTTGTTGACTGGTATTTCCGGTGTTATGTGATCGCGGTGATGTTTTCTTGAGATGGGGGAAAACATGGTGTCATTGGAAAACTTGAGTTTATTAAAAATGTCAGTAAATTTGGGTAGCCATGCTTTACCTCGCGCTATAACCGAGTTAGCGCTATATTGAAGAGCGCAATAATGAGGGAACACACTAGTACACACTATTTGTAAACCTGTTTTAATGTTTCGCAAACTACTAGTGTCATCGCTGATTTTCAGTGATATTTTGCCTTTCATGCCAATGGAATCTGTTTCAGCAGATAATTAAGACTGATTGTTCTCTGACATTAATGTTATATATTTCCTAAATTAGATCGTCTCTCAACAAGTTAGTTTATTTGAAAGTTTGTGATGAAGGCACAGGACATAGAGTTAATTTATTTTGAATAGTTGTCATCCTGCAAATAGGATGCTGGAATGATACTTATCCCTGAAAGCCCTGTGCTTGCCGTAAAAGGCGACTATGCTTGCCGTAAAAGGCGATGATGCTTGTCGTAAGAGGCGACTAACGGGATCGGTTGGTCAGGCTCCCTGACTTGGTTGATGCATGTCATTGTATCCCATTTGTCTGGTCCAGACTGGATTATTTACACTGTCGTCATACAGCTGGAATATTGCTGAGTGCGTCATGAAACCAAACCCTGTGTCTGGTGTCCATGTTAAGTCTGAAGTCAAGTAAGCCTATATTCCCCAGTGTGCTTCATCGGGTTATCAAGGGGCTCAAGTAGACCCATGTTCCCTAGTGTGCTTCATTGGGTTATCAAGGGGCTCAAGTAGGCCCATGTTCCCCAGTGTGCTTCATTGGGTTATCAAGGGGCTCAGTTAGGCTTAAATCCCCCAGTGTGTTTCATTTGGTTATCAAGGGGCTCAAGTAGGCCCTTGTTCCCCAGTGTGCTTCATTGGGTTATCAAGGGGCTCAAGTAGGCCCATATCCTCCAGTTTGCTTCATCGGGTTATCAAGGGGCTCAAGTAGACCCATGTTCCCTAGTGTGCTTCATTGGGTTATCAAGGGGCTCAAGTAGGCCTATATCCCCCAGTGTGCTTCATTGGGTTATCAAGGGGCTCAAGTAGGCCTATATCCCCCAGTGTGCTTCACTGGATTATCAAGGGGCTCAAGTAGGCCTATATCTCCCAGTGTGCTTCATTGGGCTATCAACTGCCTCCGTGGTCTAATGGTAGAGCGTCCCCCCGGAGAGCGGAAGGTCCGGTGTTCGATCCCCAGCCATGTCATACCAAAAGACGTTAAAAGATGGTACTTGTTGTTACCCTGTCTGGCGTTCGGGATTAAGAGGCTAAAACAAGGACTGGTCAGCTTGGAGTCAGTATACTGTGTCTGAGTGGGGTATTCATGTTAAACTGCGGCATAGTATCTCAGTGTGCTAGCACTATAAATCGTCATCAGTCTGGACTAGTGCAAGCAGCCACACACACACACACACACATACACGTGCATGCACGTTGCTATATAAGTGCAATAATCTTGGACGCGACGTTAAACTCCATTTCATCTCACCTCACCTCATTGGGTTATCAAGGGGCTCAAATAGACCCATGTTCCCAAGTGTGCTTCATTGGGTTATCAAGGGGCTCAAGTAGGCCTATATCCCCCAGTGTGCTTCATTGGGTTATCAAGGGGCTCAAGTAGACCCATGTTCCCTAGTGTGCTTCATTGGGTTATCAAGGGGCTCAAGTAGGCCTATATC